GGGTTAAGCTGGTATTAATCTCATAGAGGAGAGGGTTCTTACAATTCCAATTGAGCATCGTTGCAACGCCACAGCCTACCTGAGTATTGTTGCTGACCATGTCCATCCCTTTATGACCACAAAACCGTTACTAGTGTGGTGTACCTAATAAAGTGGCCGGTGAGTGTGTATATATATATATATGTATATATATTTTATCTGTTTTTTCATGCCAAGAGGCTCTGCAAAAGTTCCTTCCAAAGTTCCTGATCGATAAGAAGCCACTGCAGTGAGAAAAGCTGCACACGTTGTAAATAAATCATCCAAGTTATAAAACTATTTATGCGTTAGAAAAATAAATTTTAAGTACGACGTTAAATGTATTATTTATGTTATTTTCTAATTCTTTGTCATGTTGAACATCATCACCCCCTCAAGGCTAAAACCGTAGGAAAAAAGGTTGTTGTATCGTACATATAAATAATAATAATTATTATTCAATTTGTGATATTTAGGTAGAAAAAGCAACAGTAAGTGCATTTTTGTTTCACAATAAAAGCACTTGATTCRTTTTAAATTTTACCTAACACTTTGAAAACGGTGGTATTTTTTACTCTAACACAGGTTCAGATAAGAAAATGCACCAAAACATGTTTTTTTTTCTACAAATGACTCAAACATTTWGTTCTTGTTGTATGTCTGGTCCTTGTTTTGTCATATTTGATCATTTGAGTCTGAATTCTCATTCAGATCTGACAAGATATGTTACTGATGGCAATGAGGTGAAAATGTAATCTATGCTTAAATTTAAATTGAGATAAATCTTGCTTTTCCACAAAACCTGCTTTTCCACATCACAATTTGGTTCCATCTTTCATTAAAAGTTTTTCTCTGTTTTTACCTCCACAGTGAAAAGCATGAATTTACTGACAGCGTTAATCTTAAACTGAGGAGACAAACCAAACCCTGGCTCCGAGCTCAGCTCGGAGCCAGGGTTTGGTTTGTCTCCTCAGTTTAAGATTAACGCTGTCATCATCATCACGCTTTTCCCTGGCTCCGAGCTGAGCTCAGTTGTTTTTAACACACTTCAGATAAGCGGATCAAGTTGGGAGCATTCGGCATGTTGAAATAATCTGCCAGATGTTACAACATCCCCCAGACTGGCCCAGATGTTGCAGATTAAAACCCAGCTGGATTACCTTCTGCGCCTCGTCTTTTTTCTCCTGCTTGAGGATGTCGGTGAGGTTGATGAGCTTCTCCATGGCCTCCACCTGTCTGCTCAGGTGCTTCAGGTACATACCGCAGGCCCGGCAGTACGACTCCAGCAGCAGGCCGAACCGCTGGCTCACCGTCTTATTGTGCATCTCTGATCTGCACGTAGGAAATGAACATTAAAAGACGTCACCGTTTTAAAACGTGAGCAGATGTTTTTAAAAAAATAAATAAAACGCGTGCTAAATTGCACATTACTTGGGAGCAGTGAGTTGTGTGACATTCAAACAGTTTAATCTTTCACTTGCAAACAGCTCCATCTCCCCGAAAAAAGACCTTTTAAAATGAACTCACTTTAAATGCCAGAAGAAGAAATGTCCTATCCTCTGATTGGTTAATGCCTTTTTCAGCAGGAAGCGTGCAAGCGGGTTATCAAGGTACTGCTCGTACTTCAGAACCTGGGCACAGGCGCAGCAAATACAGGAAATTACTTGAGCGTCTCAATCTGAAACATGACAATCAGGAAGTTTTACAGGTCATTTCCTGCTTGGGACCAAACACACCTGAACCAGCTGAATGAGATACTGGGAGAGTTTGTCATCAGTCAGGTATTTCTCAAGGCACTTCACAGCAAACTCTCTCATCATGGGATCGGGAAAGTTGCAGTCCAGCAACTCCATGGCTTGTTCTGGTTTTATTGCAGGCCAGTCTTTGAGAAGGCAGTACATCTGGAATTAAATCAAATGTTTCAAACCWGGCTGTCCAAACATTTTGTCACATGTGCCAAAAATCATAAAGTCAGAAGGATTTGAGGGACAAAATATTTTTCCTTTACTTGCTCAACAATAAACTAAGTATTGAATACTTTAATTAAACAAATAAAGTAGTCAGATTTATTGCTGGAAATGGATGCGTGAATTAATCTAGATCCAGAACTTTTAAAGTGTTTTGCTGGTTTTCCTTACTGAAAGAAATTTTTGCAATTTTCTAGGTTTCAATTGGGAAAAAAGAACCTAAAACTGTGGACCTGCACAAGGCTGGGATGGGCTACAGGACAATAGGCAAGCAGCTTGGTGAGAAGGCAACAACAGTTGGTGCAATTATTAGAAAATGGAAGAAATACAAAATAACGGAAAATCTGTCTGGGGCGCCATGCAAGATCTCACCTCGTGGAGCGTCATTGATTGATCTTGAGGAAGGTGAGGAATGAGCCCAGAACTACACGGCAGGACCTGGTCAATGACCTGAATAGAGC